GTCATTCTATAAGCCGCTGACGGAATAACTCTGGCCATATAGCGTTCCAGATCATGCGGTGAGTCTTCTGGGGAGTCCAGAGTGATAGATTACTGACCGCCCGCCTCTCGCATAACGAGCGGTAGCCTGAGACCAGACACCCGGACCGTATGGGGTGTACGGTTTCGTGGTTGATGTCGATCAGGATGGAGGTGTGGTCCGAGCACAGAACGTAGTAAGTATTCCATAGACATTTGTCTGCCATCAGGTCATGTGGAAGTGCCACGTCTAACCCGCTCAAGTTAGCACTGCCCGGGTATTCTAACATAGGCGAGAGTTCTTTAAGTAAGACTTCGTTGGAATAAGGGACCGTCTTGCCGAACTTTCGGCTGCCTTCATTAAGGCGGACCCGCCCCCCTCGAGATTGTTATGAGCGTCGGGGTCCTCCCAAATCATTTGGGTTTCATCAATCAGGAGATGGGCAGAGGTCACTGGGACTAGTTCTTTGCGGGTCAGGCAGGGTTGTCGAGAGATGTGCTAGTGGTGGCAGGGATTCTTCATTCGGGAACTACGCACACGTCCTCAAGACTGAGATCTGACAGATCAATCTGATGCCTTGATGATTAAAACGACGGCTGAAGCTATTGATGTGGTCTCTATTTCCTAAATCCATGTTAGAAAGTCATGGAACCATTTGGTTGATACTGCCTAGAGGCATTTGTACGCCTCAGCTAAAAGATAGGACCCGTCGAGTGCTCAGCTACGCTTTCAACATTGGATTTCACCATGGATGGTGTACCGTAGGCATGGTCATAATCGGGCGTCTGGCCGTCTTCAGACTGGAGGGAAGTTGGGTGAGGCTGTGAATGCCAGGATCAGAAGCGGAACAAAGGCTCCTCTCACTAGAACCTCGTGTCTGACTGTGCTGACTGTCTGAGGAAATTAAAAATCTGAAGTTTCAAAACTGGAGTATCTACCAGAAAGCTCACGGGGAACATTGGGGAGCCCACTGGCGAACTCAACCTCTCGTAGCTGTCATGCAGTCACAGGGTATGGACGAAACACACATGTTTAGACTTTTAGCTAGTATCTGTTCCGTCAGTATGTTAAATCATGCAACACTAGGACTACTACTATCTTAATTTTGCAGTTCTCGATTGTTGATGCAGACTGAGTACAGGGCTGCCACATATTCAACATCCAATACAGCCTTCTTACATCTTTGCACCTCGTTAAGTTTGGCATCAGGGTTCTCTGCAGTTATGTCGCGTTAAGAGCGTGGGCTCAACACACCAATTCTTGAAAGTTGAGCCGTTCAAAAGGCCAGTGGCTCTTTCACTAGCGTCTAATTGAACCAGTTCAATATAGATTCACGCTTTGCGGCGATGCCTACCGTGGACTAGTCCCTCGTCTAAAGTTTTCTTGAGTACAATAATTGGCTCTGGCCGGTTGTTTTCGAGTAAAAACGTCTCTGAGGCGGTTGTCGTCTGCGCTACTGTTGCCAAGAGATTGGAAAAGGCTCGCTACCTTGCTGCATCAGTCCGCATAGTCCTCGTAAAATAGACGCCCCTCTGTATGTACTCAGGTGCAGTGTCACTTTCGAGCAACATGGCTAGGTTCCCCATATTGCGCAGGTGACCATTATGCTAACCAAGTCGTTAGAAGCACTGTTACGAAGGCGGTGAATCATGTGTCTTTGATGCAGCCTCTGTATAGGATTGATGGCAGTGTGAAAATTACAAATAGGCCATCTACGTCTTCTACTATTGCGTCGCGACACAACTGTACCATCGAATACCTTCTTGTCCACTAACAAATCTGCAGAGATATGTGAAATCTCCTTAAAACTGCAACATGTAAATAGAATCGCCCACTTATCACGTCTCCGTAACTGTCTACTTAGACAATGGGACTTATTTCCTACTTTATCCCTATAAAGTCAAGCAATGAACGGCCTTTCGTTAGTTAACGATAATCTCGGCTTGGCTCTAAGAGCAATCGTAATGTGCTCAGAAGCTACGTCTTTAATGTTCTTCTGTTCTATTCAAAAAAGTTTGCTGCCTCATCTAAAATATAAGGACTTTTCGATCTACATCTCGGCTTATATTGACCCCCAGTCTACGTACTCACATAATGGAACCAGCCAAATTTCGTGTCCATGTAGTGTTGCACGACGCGGCCTTTATGCCCGTTAGACTCAGAACCCTATGTGGTATGTCGTCTTAGTTGGAGCATATTACAAACTGCCTGGTCATATTCGGGTGTTTCGCCGATCTGACCTGATTGTAGGACAGGATACAGACTTTTTTCATTGGGCTGCGATCAAAAGTCCTCGCATCACCAACGAAGAAAAAATAGCCATAAGGGCAAAAGGTGATGGTTCTCTCCGGCTTATTTTTCATCGCCAGCCTTCCATGCCTCAACCGCAGACCGAAGGATTCCGATGATCGTGCGCGCGCTCAAATGTTCATTAAAGCAGATGCCTTGCAACTTCCGTCAGAGGCTCGACCGCTGTTGTCCGCAATCGGGAATATTCGATCCCATGTGATCAACACGCACTGATCTGCACTGGTTAAATGGTGGGGTACGGACCCTCCGTTTGGCCTGTATGCTCCGGTCCACAACCCTTGTCGCAGGCGGTCGAATAGAGATAGACGCACGATCAAGAAGTGTTACCAACAAAGACAGACTAGGAAGTCACACCTTAGACGACCATATGTTAACAGGACTGGAGTGACTTTCTTGAAGTTGGGATGTGTCCACCGGTCCCAGTCCCGTTTTCTAAATACAGATCGCTGCCAAATACTATTCCTTCAAGACGACTTTAAGTGCGTCACTCTCACTTAAAATATCAGAGGCATTCGATCGGCGGCTAGGCGCCAGGAGGGTCCCTGAGCGTCAGGGACACGGCTGTTGAGTTTCATCTCTCGATACTTGGATTCGTTCGACCTTTTCCTGGGACCAGCATGAATACAATCAGTCGCCGGCCGCTATAATTGTTCTTCTACTGCGAGTGTTTGTGCAAATTGTATATAATGAGTGGATGGACAGTGGACGCAAGTGAAGCGGCTTGCACCTATTTTCACTTCCCTTAGCGTTTCTTGAAAGAGAGACTGGAAAACATGATTTTCGTCCAAGGTCACGCTATAGACGGTCACACGCTAACATCGAAGAATGAAAGATCGAGCTATGTAGTTGTTTCGGTTCTGTGCCGTTCGCTTACGGCACTTTTCTCGCGAACAAGAGACCAACACGCCATGCGCAAACAATGCTATCTGTCTTAGGAAGAAGTGTGACCAAACAAATCGATCACCTGATTACTGTGGGATGACTAAGTAGGCGATTTAATCGAGGTGAGACTGTCAAATCTGTCGTCCGACGTACGGGGGAGGGTATAGACTTCTTTTAGCGAAACGCAACGAAGATTAACTGAAGGTCAGTGCCCTGTATTGAAGTCACGCTTCTCTGGGTCATAGGAGGTTGTGCACACACACTCGTTACGGTGCGCCTCCTGAGACGTTCGTCCGAAGCAGAGTTCCTCGTCGATCTGAGTTAGGACCATTTCTATTCCCCGTACGTGTTACCTATCTACCTAGGCTAGTTTTAACTGAACAATTCTGCTGTACGGAAATGTTTAAGTCTAACAAATTCTCCTTCAGACAGACCTTCCCTCTGTCAAGTCCGAAGCAAAATAATGGCATACAGATGCATGAAAATACCATTTACTTGTCGAATTTTGCACTTTGACTTATGGCGACACCACTCCTAGAACCGCCTTTAGGCAGCTGCATAAGCATCCAGCATCCCTGAGGTCAGGACTCAAGCCTTGTTACGAGGGCAGGAAGGTATGTTTTCCTCGTTCAGAGGCGTTTCCGAAACGATGCCGGTCGAGGTTTTCGCAGTCCATGCAGCCTGCGATGGGCCACACTTGGGATTCTGTCTCGATCGTAGAACTGAGGTTTTGCAAAAAGTTCCCTATCAAGTTAGTCGTCCTGTTCGCTCACTGTGAGATCTGCCAGCTGTCAAATCCCATGAGGAAGTTAACCTGCCTGTTCTCAAGTGAAGGAATGGTAATCGGCATCTGGTCGGTAGTTAATAGAAATACTTATTGAAGAAGGAGACACGATCGCCGGGACAAGAGCTTTATTAGCCTGACGTTTCGGATTCCTACTCGAATCCATCATCAGAGACAAAAGAGCAGAAACGGGTGATGATGATGGATTCGAGTAGGAATCCGAAACGTCAGGCTAATAAAGCTCTTGTCCCGGCGATCGTGTCTCCTTCTTCAAGACTACTTCCTGGGACTCGGCTCTTCGCTTCTATTAGAAATACTTATGTTGATCCCGGGATGTTTTCGGGTTTATCAGAAGCGAAATATTAGCGCAATCACCAGGCTGTCCCAGTTAATAGCAGAAATCGGAATATACCAGAATAAGGGGTTTTACTCCGTACAGACCACTGTCTAAGAGAAGAATGACCCGGTGCCGATCAGTGCCTGCTGACATCATTAACTCATACCTGCGTAGGAGTGTCCATTTGTGGGTCCACCTCACTGTGTCTGCTTCACCTTGCTGTGCAGCATACGGTGGATATCGTCGACAACGACTGTCGAACTTGAGCAACTCATGCGTGAGCGTAATGGACGAAATCGTTGGTATCCGCTGCTTTTATAGGGGCATTGGCACTAGTCCTTAACCGTTTGTGTTCAACTGCTACATGTCGCGAGGAAAACTCCGCCTTTCTAGACAGCACAATCATCCGCAGCCTAAAAATCGATGATTAAATGGCTCACGGGATCTCGAAAGCCAGCCAGGTCTTCGCTCAGCTGGAGAACGCAGTATGGAATCGTTACGGTCTCCAACAGCACACCAAAATCAAGATGTACAAAGCTGTCATCTCGGTGACTCTGCAATATGGGGCGAAGACCCTGACCGCCTACAGAAAAACCAGTGCGGAGGCTCAATCATTATTGCCTCAGTTGTTTTCGAAGAATCCTAAAGTTGAGATAGAAGGCCGCGATCATGGACACGAAGGTACTGAAACGAACTGGAATCCTCGGCATCCAAGTCGTGCAACTGCAACTGCGATGGAGTGGCCGCCTCCTGAGGATGCACGATGAGCGACTGTCCAAACGACGCTTCTACGGAGATGTCGCTACGGGTGCCCGCCGACATGGAGGACAAACACACCGCTGCAAGAATACACTAAAGCTTCCGTTGAAGTGCTTGCAAATCAATCCGAAGTCCTGGGGTGGCCTCGCACAGGACCGATCGGTCCGGAGAAGAACAATAAAGACTGGAACAACAATCTATGAAGCCAATCTGTCAGCCGCTGTCAAAACCAAAAAGGTGACTCCTAAGCCTCAAGCGTCCCAATCCACATCACCAACACCCAGTCACTTCTAACTTGCCAACGCAGTCAACGAAAATAGCGCACACGGATCGGCCTCGTTGCACACCCCCGAACCCAGTGCAGCAACAACCCACAATCCCACCTGCGACCCCCACGAACACCTTCATCGCCACCCCTGCACCAACCCCCACGAAGACCATCCCCATTACACGTGATCACAGTGTTGATGCCCCGTCGTCGTCCTCGTCGTCGATCATCGCCACTTCCATCATCCCTGTGACGACGATGATGACGGCTGCCACACGTCTCACCTACGCCTCTGATGAGAACACTCCCAACGATCCGTCAGCAAGTACCCTCACCACCTCCGCCCTCACAGCCAGCGATGCGGACTCGGTTCCCGCCTGTCTTCATTGCGATAACCCATTCACCTGATGCAATGGTCTGGCCGGACGCACTGCAATCGGTGCGCTAGTGCCGGGATCCCTCATATACGCTCGTCGCATCCGCCTCCACTGATGCGTTCGAAATAGGGCTACTTCTCTTTCTTTCTTTCTTTCTGTCTTTCTTTGTTTCTCTCTCTCTCTCCATCCCACTATAAACTAATCCACGTGCAAGTCATTGTCACTGCAGCAAACTGTGGACATCGTCGGCAACGACAGTCAAACTTTACTATACCGTGTGCTGTCGAAACTCTGGAATCTCATCAAAGGACCATAAACAATGGAGTGAAATGAAAGCGTGTGTTTACGCTTAAATCCCTTTGCCCGTCCTCTGTCCGTCCGCTGAAACCTGGATATTACCATTCTGAACTAGCGCTGATATTATAGCATTAAAATTTGTTCTCGTGTACCCACAGCAAAGTTACTAGCTAAAGGCCTAGTTGTGTTTCGACGAAGCCCTCGTAGTTTTGTTATATCACCGCAGAAAGTTGGTGAAACACATGGCTCGGGTTCTGGGTAGAAAGTGTGTTGAAGGTACGATAGACAAATTTTTGCACCCATCGTTCTCATCACGCCCGACTGATCACCGCAACTATGGCGGCTTTAGTCTCCCCTTCCTTTCGATGCCCAATTTAGCAAACGAGATGACGAGCTCTTGGGAACTGTCGTGATAGCTGGGCTATTGAAAGCTCCCTACATCCGGCCCTCTAAGCTCAGACAGATGACAAACTTGTTAGGCTGGTGGAATTTCAACATGTCCGTTGACGAATCCTGTACCCGAAAACCAGGTTTCCGGGTTGAATGGCAAGGTTTGCCTCGACCGAAAATGGTTTTACCTTCGAAGTCGAGGGCGCGCCTTTTCCGTTTACTATACTTAAGATTTCAGGTCCGAAAGCTATGACATTAACTAGTGCTTGCGCCACCAGTACTGCGGCTTTTATGCAGTCTCTCCCCTTCCCCATCGTACTTGTACTTCGTCCTGCAAACTATTGCCGTGGTCTCTTCGTATAGCGCGGTCACTTAACTCTCATCGCGTGTTGGCGGAGCGTGACTTTTGGCGTGTTTACTATCAAAATTCCAAGAGGCAACTATGGGTAGAATGATTAACGTCAGAACAGATGCATCCACCCTTGTTTGACGTGAGCCTGCATTTGAAAAGTAACAGGCAGGTATCCGATCTTACGTGGCATGCAGCAATCCAAGGAATATCCTGCATTCGAATCCTTAAAAATGAACAACAGACGAAACTACCCAAAATTTCGAGCAAAATATAATTTTATCGGGACAAATAAACCAACGCGCAGCCAGAGATTAGAAGTTGTTGGAAGGTCAGTTGCTGTAATAGGTAAATCGTGCTAACCTGAAATCATGTTATATTAAAAGTACACCGAGCAAAGGACGGACGTGCAGACATACACACCCTCCTTTCCCAGCTGATGCCTACGAATTTTCGTACGATTGGGTATACGGGGATTTTAGGCCAATCACCTATACAGTTTTTTAGTGTTAATCTGTCTCATAGCTAAGCCCCACGTGATTATTTCATTGAAAGTGATACTATTTCAGTCAAGTATCCATGCTAGAGTTAATTCTGAATTAAAATGCAATGTACATGATGGTAATCTGCTGAGGTCACTTGTGAATCCGTCGCAATGAGACTGACCAACCAATGCCAGGAGCGCCAACATTTACTCGCTGTAACTGTCCACATTGTCCGCGCATATTCAGTCACCGTACCGGCTTATTCGGCCACATGTAAATCCACGACAGCAAAAAATCGCCGTTATGCAGATATGCCAAACACACCTCGCACATCCGACCACTTCCTCATCTCGATCACCACCAATTCTCCCTCAACGAGCGTTGCCACCACCGGCAGAATCACAGCCACTCCTCCTTCACCACCACCACCACC